GGAAAAGTATATGATTTTTGGGGTTGATATGTTTAATGAAAGAGTATAGTGACTCAGTAGCGTACATCAGCATTCAGTATTGGTTGTCTTTAATATACTCGTTAATTTATAATGTAGGTATATATTATTATGATTAACGATATCACAACTTTGGAAATAGAGGTAAAATTTATACTTTTTGCGGATGATGCCAATATTTTATGGAGCTATAAAAATGATGCCTTGAATCTTAAGAGCATAGTTAATAAAGATGTATATTTAATAAATAAGTGGTGTGACTGTAATTTCCTAACATCAAATATGAATAAAACGGAAACCTGTGTAATGAATTTCAAATGTGATATTGATGTGACTCTCTGTAATAACAGTAACAACCCTTGAAAAAAATAAATTAATGGGTATTGCTGGGTATTTATTTGGACAATAGGCTTTTTGGAAAACACGTAAACCAGTTAAAAACAAAATTGGCATCTAGTTGCTATGGAATTAGAGTTCTAGCAAAGGAAGAAATTCAAATTGGTTAGGGTTGGTTTATTTGAAGGGCACCTGAGAATATGTTTCTGGGGATCTTTTTAATGAATGCTGTAACAGAAGCGAGCGGTAAGATACATGTGCGGGGTTAGCGCTCGGATTACATGTAAATCGTTTTTTGAACTATTTAATTGTAGAGCTACGAGTGTTGACGCTGATATGTGTACTAATATTAGAAACAGTGGAAATGATATACAAGAAGTTTTAAAAATATATACCTTCTCCTAACACAAATAACACAAGGTCATCTCACAGAGTACCAGTGCCAGAACCAACAAAGTACCCTAGTTCTAGTTAAAAAAATCTATTATATTCAACAGCAAAGCTTCCTTGGAGGAATTTTGCAATTCAATTTCTAGATAAGTGAATGCTGGTATCAATTTCTGCTGTCAATGTCTTGATTTTTACTCTGATTAAGAAATAAGTATACAGTGGCGTAACTAAGGGCCCGCAGCTGCAGGGGGGGCCCGTGACTTAGGAGCCCCGCAGGGCCCCAAACCAGGCGACAAGAAAGTACTAAACTGGCGACAAAAATATTACTAAACTAAAAGAAAATACTTAAACCTAACCTTTAAACCTCATAATACATAAAAACCATTGAAAAAGTATGTTCAACCAATGTAAGAGAGCAATGTTTAGACACATAGGCGCCGGGGGCGGAGCCCCCATAGTGATTTTGGCATTGTATGTAGTGGGTGTAGTGAGTAGGTACAAAAATATTGAGTTCCTGATCCTAACATTCCTAACTATTTATTTTTATATCACACTTGTGTGTTTTATGTTTTTTTTTTTGTTTTTGCTATAACCACTTTGACAAACAGTTTGACAGATACCCATTACTCAACATAACGCATCTCTTGAAGAAGCTGGGACGCTGGCAATATTTCACTGCCTTAGATTTTAGCTAGCAGCTTCCACCAGATTCCACCACAACGACATCGACAACAACAAGGTGGCTAAAAAGCACTGGGAATGCTGGAGGTGGAACAAGGGAAATCGTTATCTTTCGTTCTCTATTCAACCTTGGAGTTTTTCTAGACATTTCATTCTATTGCATTAAAATTGGCCTGTTGTTGACCTGTCAAACCTGTATATAGGTAGTTCATTTTTTGGCCATACCATTAGCTTATTTATAAGTTTGTTTCGAGCCGTGTAAAGATATTAATGGGTTGTGTGTATAAAAACGAAGTACGTGCTACTACTACAAGTATTAGTATATGCTTTGCAGTATTTACTTCAGAAAGAAGCATTCACTAATTTCCGGTAGTTTCGAAATATAGTATCTACTTCGTTTTGAAATAAATGCTACGTAGAACATAAAATGCGACAACTGAATGAACCTGTGTGGAAGGAATGCGGGCAAAACCTTCCTGATTGGCCCCAGATTAAATGTATACGCGGGTCGTCGCGTCAGGGTAAACGCAATTTTCGCAATGCACCACGTCGAGGACCCGTCGCGTCGTGTAATATAGGTTTTCGTTTTCCCCTCTGCTACTTCATACGTCGTCAAGGTTCATTCAGTTGTCGCACTATACCAATACTTGTAGTAGCAAGTACTTCGTTTTTATTCATACCACCCAATGACACCATGTTATAGAGAGAAAAGAATCTTGAATCTTTTGTATGAACACTTTTTTCTAAAGTTAATAGATTTTGAAATATTTATTAAATAAGTTTAATTTTTTTTTACATTTTCCCTTATATCTCGGAAACGAATAAAACTTGGCAACCCTGTGTACTTACCCTCAATGGATACTAAAATCTGCCACTTTTATCTAATTTAACCTACTTCGTCCGTCTAACCGGTTCGGAGATAGCAATAGTGGTATCACTTAAAACGGACACCCTGTATAAAGCAAAATTAGAAAGAAAAAAAGAAATACACAAAAGATGGGCCCCGGGAAAATCCTTGCGGGGGAACCCGGATTTGAAGTTACGCCACTGTAAGTATAACGTTTTTTGTAAGATATACCTAATTAATTTTTGACTTTATTTTTGTACAGTGTGGTCCTTTTATCTTGATAACATTTCAAACTGTCATAATTTCTTAATTTCTGAAGTTATTGAAATAAATTAAAAAAAATAACATACTGTAGGGTTGTTTACTGGATGTTCCATTTGAAAAACTGCTATTTGTGCGCATAACTGTCAAAATATATTAGTCTTTTGTTTTTTGTCCACCCTATCTAAAACTTGGAAAGCAACCCTACAGTATGTTTTTTTATTTATTTATCCAACACATGACAGTTATGACTGTTATTATTATTGTCATTTTAGACAAGTAAACTATCAAATAACACACTAGTGAGTTATAATCCATAACTCACTAGTGAGTTATGGATTATAACTCACGTTCATATTTAAAGTAGTATTCTATTTATTTATCACTATTAAAAGCAGAATTCACATTGATATTGACATTAAAGGCAAACGCTAACGGTTTATTCGAATTTGAAGTCATTGTAAAATTCGTTGGTTCATTGGAAACAGACGCTCCTATATCGGTACAGCTGCTGATAGTGCCGGAAGACGCCAACGCATTAGAACCTTGTTTTTTTTTTTGTATTATCTCATAAAAAAGCGATTTCTTCCACTTGTTGGATAAAACATTGTATGCCACTCGTGTGTTATGTTTCCTAAGTCACTTGAGAATTTATACCACTCGGCCTGACGGCCTCGTGGTATAAATCTTTCTCGCGTGACTTATTTTCAACATAACACACTAGTACCATAAATAACTATTAAATAACTTTAAAAATAAAGAAATTATGACAGTTTAAAATGTTATCGAATGTAATACCCAAGTAGCACATAATATGGGGTAAACATCGTTTTTCAGTTGGGCCAATATTTATTCATTTTTGTTGATAAATCAACACAGTACCAACATTGGGGCAACGTTAGTTTTAACTATGTGGAAACAATATTTAAAAATAATCTTGTACCAATATTGTTTTCATAGATTAATTAACTCTTCAGTAATTTGAATATTGGCCCAAGACTTCTCACTACAATATTAATTTATGAAATATTGGCCAAATATTACATTTTATATTATCGAAACAATATTGTAATATAATATTAATTCAATATTGGCATTCAATTTTTTATTGATATTTAAATTCACTTCAAAAACTTTGTACACCCAATATTTATTTCCAATTTTTTCGCAATATTGATACTTTTTGAAAAGCCCAATGAAGGGCCAATATTTACATACTAATTTTTACCAAGGTTAGATTTTCTGAATTGAAAATGTTGGTCCAATATAGGGTATTCAATGTGCGCACTTGGTGTGCCGACCAAAAAATAGATGGAGACTCTGTCTTCACTTTACCTGTCTTAAACCTGGTTCCAGGATGAAGTCAAAAATTGTTTGTTTTCTCTCTGCGGGACCCTGGCGGGACTTAACCATGCTGATGACTTGTGATACAGCGAAACGGGTCCACGGATGGTCCGGCAAAGAGAAAACACTTCTTAGTCGGTCCTTATAATTGGTCCGTTACCTTAATTAAATATAATATAAAGCCAAGATTTACATACGTCTCCGGGCCAATATTGGTAATTTCAATTGGCTCTATATTGCATAAAGTTCTTGATATGATATTGATTATTTCTTTTTGGGCCAACATTTGGTTACGTTATTGTACCAACGTTGGTATTTGTTTTTGGGTATATATTGACATACGTTCTTGGACAAATATAGCAGAATGTCCACATCTTTTATTGGGCCAACATAGAGAATCTGACTTGGGCCAATAAATCGTAGTTATTGTCCCAATATTGGCCCAACATGGGAGTGCTACTTGGGTACCACAAGAGGTTTCAGGATTACCGGATAATACTTTTACCTGTCACGAAACGCGTTACGCAGCAACACCACGACTCCGAAGGAGGAGTGGTGTTGCTGGTAACGCGTTGAGTGTCAGGTAAAAGTATTAGGTAATCCTGAAACATCGAGTGGTATTCAAAAGGTTATACAACGAACTAAACTTCAATACTTTATCAATCTTTATAATCATTAATGACAAATTGACAATATTGCCACCAAGCGCGATAATCCCAAAAGGCTTATCACTTATTAAGCCTCTCGTGTCATATGGGAATAATGTACAGTGAGTTGTATAATCAAGATAATATAACCACACTGGTGATTGACATGATCAACTGAATTAAGACATTTTCATATAAACTTCAACTGATTTAATGTGACTTTGATTTATAACGAACATGAAGTGAACTTTCCAGTGATTTAAACTGATTTAAACATAATCTGATTGATACATAGCAAAAGGAAGTTGTTTTTAAATGATTCAATTAAGAACTTGAGAGTGTGTACGATTATTTTCAACATCAAGCAAATGTTGTCAGAAAGTTGCCATTGATGTACAATAACAATAACCCAAAAACGAAAAGTAATATTATAAATCCATCTCAAACATACGGACAATTATTATGAAATAATCATGTAAACCAAATTTAATATTAGTCCTATTTTTATTGAGAATATTTAAAAAATTACATTAATATTAATAAATTAATGTATAATAACAAGTACATACTTTCGAATATATTACTCCTCAATTTTCAGCTGTTCTTCTTTTTTAGGTTCCTTTTTCTTAGAAAACTCCGACAAATCCCTCCTCATAGAATAGGCATCCTCACCATCAGCATAGTATTTGGGCTCAATCTCCACAGTCTCAAATTTAAGCGAATTTTTATATAAATTCAATGCAGCCCTATTGCTTTTTCTCACATGCAAGGACACATATTTAGCATCGAAACATTCAACCATGGCTTCGGACGCTTGATCCATCAATTTCTGAGCTAAGCCCAATCTTCTATGGGATCGTTTCACAGCCAGCGAAGTTATGTGTCCGTGTTTCAGATCTTCCTGGTCTTCTTCCATTTTTGCCAATACGTAGCCGACAATTTTGCCATTCTCATCCTCTGCAACATAGCTAAGTTGAGGCCAACTCAATCCGTGATAAAAGTAATATTTCATTTGGTAATTTTCGGGCAGACACAACAAATTGCAGTGTTGCATGTTCATTAAGTCTTCAGGACGGGCGCACCGGATATTCATTTTTATGTCTGAAATTTAAAATTAAACAAAATTTATTTGGGGTTACACAGAAATGAAACAAGCCGGTATGTTTTATACATTGTCAATTTTTTGCAATTATGTTGATGCTTCTTCCAGACACGGAGAATAGAGAGAATGGAGTTTGATACTCAAAATTAGAGGATAATAATTGAAAATTCACTTTCTTTATTATTCAATTATTATAAAAAGCTCTTAGGTAGACACAGGTTTCTTTCAAAGGATTTATAGACTAGCTTCTAGTACTTAACTTACCTAATCTTAAGTTAAAATTTGTGTCATTCAGTGGGAATAAGAGTGATTTGATCACGAAAATGATATCGATGGTTGAAAGGCGAAAGGTTATAAGCGACAGTTTTGAAACTTTACAGTAGGGCCACTTAAAGTGTAAAAAAAAATACAAAATTTTTTTTCATTAGTTTATAATCTATTTTTATTAAATTAAAACCGGTATAATGCAACTTTGGGTTTATTACATGTATTAGCAATTCAAAACATGAAAAAGTACAATTCATGACAAAGCTACCGTCGCTTAAGCAATTTGGCGATCAAATTACATTGTGGTAAAAGGTCTTAACCACTAAATCATTCAATCAAATCAGTAAGTTGAAACGTTTTAACCACCCTTACATTGATCACTGGTTATCACTCAAAACGTTTTAACCTCCTATCATTGAACGTAACCATTCGGACGAAACACTTCAACCATTTTGGCATTAATTATTGGTTATCAGCAGAAACGTTTCAAACCCCAGTTTTGATTGTAGGTTCGAAGGTTAAATATTAACTAACTTAAAATTTTTTTTTTTTCTGTGAATCTATAAGGTAGGTAGGTAATGTAAATAAATCGAAACTTTATAAAAATAACAACTTTATTCTCCAATGACATCAAGCTTGTGTTCAAATTATAAATAATATCACGCCATCAAGCCTTTAAAATAAAAAATAAATTCCTTGGAATAATCTTAAAATCTAAGGAGCGTAATTTCTAGAGTAAAGTAACAATCATCTTCAAATAAAATTTCCATGAAATACAAGTTATCAAAAATAATTTACTCGAATTCGTCTTCTATATCGGTATCGGGAAGAGTGTCTTTCAGGTGAGTTCCCGTAGGAAGATTTACATATTCGTGATGAAAAATTGGTGGTATAACATTATTTTTGCATAGTTTATGAAGATCTTCGTATTTTTGTTTGGAAATTGCTAAAGGTGTTTTGTAGCAACTGGTAAGAACACCTTTTACCCTCGTTTGAACTTCGATATCAAAACTAGGAGCTTTATCATCCATTGAATTTTTTATTTTAATTTTATGTGAGTCTTTTTTTTTGAATGTACAGATACGAATTTTACTGATTTTGCCAGTTAGGTTTCCTTTAAAATACTTCTCACCAAAAATGTCATATTTGTTAAAATCTTTGAAACTCAGGTACTCAACATTATAAGGCCTTGGATCTTGTCTTGCCGTCGTAAAAACAGTGAACCATTGAGAAGGAGCCCAAATAATGGAATGTTTCGTATTTCGCTCGATTATGGCATGCACAGAATCTACAGGCATGTATGTATGCCCCGTGAGTAGAAAATTAATCTGGATAGTTTCGATAAATTTACAATTTTGTGGAGTGGCATGGATCATAGATAGAATTGTTTTGTTGCGATTCTGTCCAGGGCAGCAGTCGCAATACAAAAGCAAATTTCTAACAGACTCGCGTTTATCAATCATGTTTATATATCGGTTTAAAATAGTGCCAACCTCATTTGCTCCACGTTTTCCGTTGACTTCATCCCAGTAATAGCAAAAAACATCACGAGTACCACTCTCATAAAAGGTAAGGTTAAATACGGAAATCTTTCTCGAATAGTATAGAAGCATACTCTCGCCATGAGGTGTGTTTAAAACCTTTTGTAAGTCAAAACTGACGCATAAGGTGGTGGGATCCGTTTTATGAATATTTTGATGCATTTTAAAACGATTATAGGTATGATTTTTCTCTGTTTCATGATCTTGTTTAGCCTTCTGCATATTCTCATCAGCCTTGTCTGTCCTTTCGAACCGAATACATTGTAAACATTTGTCTTTTTTGGGCACGTGAAACCCATTGTGAAATTTTTGTTGAAGATATTTCGAAATACCCTTTCTCCCACTACATCAATTCCCTGCTCAATGTGACTCTTTTTGTATACCTGGTACAAATGGGATAGATTTTTAAGCTCTTGTGGAAGATATAAACGGTTTGAATCCTTTCGACTGTAATGCGATGGTACAGCTGGTAGACTTTTTATAAAATTCATTACTTGCAATATAGGTCCTTCTTTCGTTTTGTTTGGTGGTATACTTTTGCCGCGTAAATCTTCTTGAGCAGAACCAAATGAAGCGTTGCTTACAGTATAATAGATAAACTTTTGAGAAACATCCAATGTATTACATAAAAACTGGAGGCAGATGGATCGTTTGCCTTCTCCTTCATTTATAAAGTATTTGAAAGTAAACTGGCGCTTCTCAGACTCTGTAGATATTTTTCTCTTAACCATTGATTTTTGTGACATGGCAACAATCCAATCTTTACGACGATCCACAGAAAGGTTCCAGAAATGATCAAAAATGAGTTTTCTCCTCTCATCAGATATATTTTCACAGTTATTTCCACATTTTTTACCTGAACAGGGATTTGGCTTTATTTGTTTTGCTGGTACCACAGTTCCATCGGATTTAACATATTCTTGGCCGGATTGTTTAGCCTTTTTCTTTAGTGCTCTTTTATTTGGTTTCTTGGTAATTTTACCTAATTCTCCGACTATATTCTTATCTTCTTCTTCTGCATCATTATTTTTTTTTTTTTCTTTGTTAATATTTTTTTTTTGTTTCCCTTTGAAATTTTGATTTACCTCATCCTCGGACGACGAACTTAGCTCTTCTTCCCATACATCAGAATCATTGTCAGTGAAAAGTACTTCGTCATCAGATAAATAGTCCAAATAAGCAACACTCTTTTGTTTAACTCTGCGTTTTGGTCTTTTATTACCAGCAGAAGTTGATGGAAGAATCAAATTCTCTTTTCCAGCGCGTTCTTCTAAAATGCCTATTTCAGATACATTTGAATCGTCGTTTAGCGCTAAAGATTCTTTGGGAGACTGACCATCATTAGTGATGTTGTATGGTTCCATCTCATGATATATAGGTGTTTCAGCGGTATCAATTTGGTTTAATCCTTCTATTGCGCTTACTGCTGGCGATATATCATAAGCAGGAAAGTCTTCTTGAGCAGTATTTATAGTGATTAGACTGAGTTGCTACAATATTCGAATTCGTCACTTCTGCCTTACGAGGAGAAACTTCAGGAAACATTTCTGTAATGGAAAATTGGACTTCACACTCAGAAGAGGGTTCTTCTTGACAAGAAATCATCATAGAATCATTGGATAAACAACCAGTGTCTATTTCTTCATTTTTTTCCTGAAAACGAAGTTGAAACTAATTAAATCTAACAGGTTACACAATGGTTTAATGAACTTTATGAGTTAATTAATACTTCATACCTCAACACTGTCCATTCCATCTTGTTGTAGAGTTAACAATTCACTTCTATCAGTTGAAACACCTAAATGTTCAGCTGGATTACTCTGGAAGAAAAGTTGAATTTTAAAACGGGTTTTTTCATGCAATATGATACTAAGGGACTATTTCTTATTGCTGAATCTTTTTACCTCGGCATCTTTAATGAGGGATAATAAATTTTTACGGGCCCTCTTTCTACTTCCTTCGACTTTCTCGGAGCGAAGCGCTAAATTTAAGATAGTTTTTGCTCTACTGTGGTTCTCCAATAGAACCTAGAATAAATTATAAGGAAGTTTAATATCTATCAACCCTTTCATCGACTCATGAAATATAAATTATCCGAAAGCCTGATATTCTACACATAATCAAACAATACCAAGCTTACAACAACATTGTGCCAATAGGTACTTACCGAATGATAATAAATATTCCGTGAACACAAGCTGGATAAAAAAACTTGAACTTACTTTTCGCACAGCACAAGCACCATTTAACATCCAACAGCGAACTGAGATATTGTATTAAACTGCCTGTCAAGTTATCTAAGCGGCGATTGACAACCGAACTTGAACAGGCACAGACATAATAAAATGGATCAAACCCCAAATGCAGCATTACCCGTATACCTTAAATGCATCGCGGCAAAATCAGCTCAAATGGAAAAACTTCAGTTATAAAGATTCAGGTTAAACGATTTAAGGATATGTGCTATATAATAAGATCGTGGTAAAATATAATAAACGCCATATTTCCAAAATGCCCAGCCAAGTGGAATGGTTCAAGCAGTGAAATATTATTATTTTGGTCCAGGCAGAACAGGATAAGCGCCACGTATGTTGCCGAAACCTGCAAAGAAAATTAGCTCAAGCGACATGAGCATAAGAATTAGCTTATGGTATAATAGAATAACCACCATTTTTGAGAAATAAATGGAAAGGTAAAACAAGGTAACCAACATTTACTCATTTTGTCGAATAGCCCAAATACCATTGTTCACAATTGTGTCTATATTTTGTCGCTTAGTTGAAAAAAAAAGCCAGGATCCATTCTTTTTTCATTTGGCTTAAGCGACAAAAAAATCATCGTAGAAACCTGAATAATAGCTCATTCGACGCAGAAAAAAAAATTAAGAAATTTGGCGCTTAAAACTCTATTTCGAATAATGCGTCGCTTATGACCTTTTGCCTTTCAACCATCGATATGCATTATTGTTCCTTTATTGGTCAGGATGTTTGATATGTCATTTCGACACAAAATTCAATAACAAAATTTAAAAAAATACTACTGAGATAAACGATTAAAAAATCATAGCCGTCTTTGATATGGTTTTTTTTTGAAGACCCGCTATCTTGAAGTTTATCAATCTACCTATAAATTATTATTATCAAGAGACAAGAACCATTATTTTTTGTAAACTATTACCCGAGCTATTACCA